TCTTTCGAAGCAGTTATATAGAAATTATTCTCTCTTAATGCTTTCTGGTCGGAGTATATTCCATCGTTTCTGACGATTGAAATTTTTTAATTTGCATTTGATTCCATGGAAAAGATTTTTAAGCTACTTAGAGCAGAGCGAACCTAACCAGAAATGGTGGTGACCACTTATATAATTAAGTATTTGCTTCAAATTTTAACAAATGAATTCGGTGTGGTTTGATAACAATGCTAAAGAATTTAAGGAGATTTTAATTGTATGATAGCTTATAAAAGATACTAAGGAAGTTGTCGAGAGGTTTTAATAGCACATAAGAATTCGAACAGCATTCGAAATTCGAAAAGATGTTAAATATAGGGTTTGGAGAAAAAATATAACGAGAAAGAATATAGGATGGAGAATGAAAGGAATATGGTGACGTTTGAAAAAATGTAGAGGATACGATAAATTTCGAAGAATTCGTTAAGGAAGTCCGAAAGATGATTATACGCATAGGGTGATATTTCTAGGATTCAAGTGTTAAGGAGGTGTTTTACTGATATAAGCACTTTTTTCCCTGTTTATCAACACTCACCATTACTGATTGGGCTGGTTTTACTGACATCTTTCAAATAATCTCTTGGGAGCTACAAGTGTCATCAGCACCACCCGGGTTCAGTATTTTGTGGTATTCCTCGAGGAGGCATGGAATTACTCTGTAGCTCGGCCACTCCCTCGACCCACCCCACCCTCCCATACCATGCGTCCAAGAATATGCACTATAAACTATACACACAAACATAAATATTAATCTGCCTGTGTTTATCCATTTGTGCCTTTTTTGTAAATTTTGTTTATATTTTGTTTACTGTTCTTTATTCATTCTTTTCGCTGTAATTCATTATTTCTCTGTTCAAGGCATTTCTATTTTCTGGCTCGTCATGATGATTTGTCGGTAATTTAAATATGGTATGTATTTTAGGCGCATCGATGGCTTAGTAGCATGATGAATAACGAGAATCGCGAATGGCTCAGGTTCATATCCGACCAACGTCAAGGCAGTGTTGCCGAACGTGTTGGTTGTTTTAAGCCCGACAGGAGTAAGCCTATCCTTCAAAAATCCGGGCGATGCTGCCGACTCACTTGTACTTCTCTCGTCAAGTGAAAAAATTTGCCTGGCCCGACAAACCAGCGGAATGAGCATAACTTAAAAAAATTATTTTCGAGCTTAAAATAGGATTTCAAAGTTCCTTTAGAAACAAAACGATTTATACTTGATTTATACTTACTTTATTTATATTTATATTAACATCTAAGCATGGAATAATGTATATTTAAGGTTTAATTAAGCACAAAATGCTAGATATTTATTTATTTGAACAAAATGATATCTATTAAAGGTATATTTTTGCATAAAACAAGTTTGTTTAAATCATACCTTGAATAAAATCTTGTAGTAGGCCGTACCAGGCTGATTTGGCTCGTTCGGCGACTAGGGACGTTTTTCAACCAGCTGAAGCCACTCCTTTTTCTATAGTCTTCCGTATATATCTTCCTCCATGTATATCGCTGGGTGGTCTGTGTTAAATTCACAACACCTTCCATCACAGATTTAATAAGTACCGAGATATACGTCAATTTCTGTGGTGGACGTCGAAAAACATGGTCAAGCGACTCTTTGTGACGATTGTTAATAAAATGGCATTCAAGCGAAAGTAAAGGCAATTATGTGAGACTCTGTGAACTTGGTGCGTATACGGAGGATTAAATAAAATTGCTCCAAGGCAGGTAGCTTTCTCATATCTTCCATTCATTGGTCAAGTTTTGCAGCTGTATAATAGGATTGCATACTACAGCTATGCAGATGCCTTTGTTGTTGCGCTTGCAACCCAGTTTATCGCATAACTGAAATAGTTGAAAATAGAGAAAAGAGCTCAACCTTAATGCATGTCCGTTCCTATTTGCAAAAAGTTTTATCGATTCCGCCGTACATATACACCTGCGCTAACATGCGCTCATAAATTTCTCTGGACTTGCCGGATGCGTGTTTATTTAATCAAAATCAAATCAAAAACAATGGCAAAGTCGATAAAGCACGATAGGGACCATCTTCTGCTGAGGTGTACCTGTCCTCAAAGTTGCGAATTAAAGAGATTATCTCGTGCTCGGTTCATGGTTCCACTTGCACTCATGTCCGTGATGTTGGATGGTTCATCCTGATCAAGTTTAGATTCAAAAACGCGCGGGAGAAATGATTTCCGATGGTCTTGGAGAGTCATCTTTTCATTTTTTCTTCTTTTTTACGCTCATCTCAGATTATGTTTCACTAAATCATTCCTCGAGCTCCAGTTATTTCGTAAAGTAGGCGATTATTGTCTATTCTAGCCGCTGTCTCCATTTTCAAACCATATTGTCCCATGTCATCATTGGGTTTTTGAAAGTTATCGAAGCTACTAGCATTGCTAGCGTTTTCTGAACTATTTTTACTCAGCTTCCTCTATTCCGAGTCATGGGCGAATTTGATTGACTTCCGAAGTAGGATTTTAACTACGACCAATATCCTTGGGCAGCTCCAGAAGTACTAATGTTATCAAAGTCCTTTAGCCGTCTCAGCTTAAAAAGTGTTGATTGTCGCTGAATCTTTTAATTTGATTTTTAATTTAATTTTAATTAATCAAAAAATTTTGGTAGACGCTGTATTTATCGGTTTCAGTCACGTTTCAACTCGCGGACATTATCAATTTCAACTTAGCGACATTTGCGAGTATTTATCGATAGACCGGAATATAATCGAAAGCACATATTGATGGCAGAAGCCCTTCTCCGTCGGTACATAGGACTCCAAAGCCACGACTACAGTGGAACATCTGTGTGCGCATTCCAATCTCTAGCGATCATGATTACATCATTTTTTGAAAGAAATGCGCTTATAAAATTAAGCTCGGCACTGAATCTATTTCAGCTTAGGAGCACTAGTGAGCGACTGCCTTTAAAAGGAGCATAAGTCATCCGACCATTATAACAGCATTCCATACTAGCGTGTGGTTGTCGCCTGCATCCTTACATCCGTAAGTTTTCTGACGTTCCATGTAGCTGCGGCTAGAACCTTGGGTAACATTTGCGTAAAGAGCCTGCTGATATTTATGCGACTCGAGAACTTACACAGTCTTTTTGTTGTTGATGTGATTATTTACCTCTACTTTTTCCCTGTTCGCGTATTTATTGCATGTATTAACGATCGCTATATTATGCGAATCGGAATATACGGAGGCAATTTGCTTATTTGCTACAGTAATTTGGGGAAATTTCTGGTATAATTACGAAATTATTTTTATTAAGAGAAAAAATTTTTTTGTTTTACTATATTTTTTAAATTATTTTTTGATTTGAATTCTTTAAATGACTTACTATTTTATATATTTTGTATTTTAAATATTCAGACCTATGGTACTTGAAAATTTTTTCAGCAAATAGCCGAACGAATTAAGCGATTAATATTAGAAATACAGAATATAATAGCGAAGCGACCGCTTACCACTTTTCTCATATGATTCTTGATTTGAATCTTGAATAAAATGCAACATATTTATTTGTTTTTTATTATGTTCTACTATTTTTATGTCATTATTTTTTTTTCTAAGAATGCTTACCATTTCTGACTTGGCTGTTTCCACTGGCTTGACGTACCAAACAAATTTTGCAAGGGAACCATTTAGTGATAGAGATACAGGTGATTCGCCAGCATTATCCACGTTTTTTAAAAAAAAGAGAATAAAAAGATTTATTCTCGCTGGGAATAGAACTGTAGAACCGGCAGCTTCAAAGTAAGAGCAACAAGCAGTCGAACCATCCTATCTTTAACATGCATTTGAGTGTAATGCATGTTTAACCATAAAATGGTTTAGTTTATTGAACGATATTGTTTATGATTTTTTGATTTGTTTCAGTTTTTTCAACGTTTTTCCATTTGCATTCATTCATTCATTCATTCATTCATAATCTCTCGGAATATCCAAATAGAAATTTATAAATTTTATTTTAGGTTCATAATTCGGATTTTTTTTCAGATTATTGGTGTGTATAATTGGTATAAAGGGGTGGAGAATGACATTTGAGGTGAATTTTGGTGGCGGAAGCCTGTGAACGAAATAGTAATATTTTGGGGAAATGGCGATGACTGTTGGTAATAATTTGAATCGATGCTATTATAAATCTGAAAAATTTGGACTTCGAACTGTAAAATTTTGGAATAATCATCACCTATACATTCGATGACATTATGTATGCTTTAATTAACATTTTTTTTTCTCTCAGCTGTAGAGAATCGTGGAATTAGTTAGTAAAAATTATTTGTTGATAGTATATTATATTGCTATGTTAAATTTTTATATAAAATTACCACTTTTTTTATTAGTTAATAGAATTTTAATTGTTTATAAATTATTAATATTTGTCATTTTTAAATTAAACCATTAATTATTTTTATTACGTCTTCAGTTTCGTTTAATTTTTATATTTATTGATTTATTTTTAAATTTTTTTTGGTGAGAAAAATTCTTTTATGATTAATGAGTAATGAAAATTTCAGATCAAATAGAAAGACTGTGTTTGCCGATATATTTCATCTAATCGGTTAAAATGAATAAAGCTGATAAAATCAAAATATTGGTGATTTTATTTTTCATCTTCAGCATTATTCATTTTGTTCTAAATCGAAACTTCATTATAGACGGAGAATTTTTATTTTATAAAGGTAGAACATCAAATGTGGATATCAACAGTGAAACATTTTCAACCATTAATGTACTCAATTATTCCGCAAAAGAATGTTCGTTTTTTTCCACTTCCACTTTATTTTTATTTATAATTTTTATTATTTATTTATTATTTGTTTTATTTATTGTATTTATTATTATTTTCTTTTATTATTTATTATTTTCTTTTTAATTTTAAAGTTTTACTTAAAAATCAATTTTTTCCTATAATTTTTTAAATTTTCAGTTAATATAACAGAAAACGGAATGATTTTACCAAATCAAAAGTTGTGCCCAAAAAATCCACCTTCATTACAAGGTCCAATCCGAGTGTGGTTTGATGCACCAAATTTTAGTGATTTGGAGCGACTTTATTCTTATCTTGATCCAGGTGGACATGCACAACCTAGGCACTGTGTCGCTCGTGATCGTGTTGCAATCATTATTCCGTATAGGTCAAGATTTTTTTCGAGAGACATTCTTTATTTTTTGCAAATTTTTTAAATGCTAAATTTTTTGTGATTATAATTTTACGAATGATAGACCTCTGCCCATGTTAAAAAAATTTTTTTCAGAATTTTTTTCATTTCTATTTGATTAATTCACTAATTCATTAAATTTATAGCTTTCCCAATCAAACATTATTCTTTTCTAATTTTGCCAAATTTATTTTTTAGAGATCGTGAAATGCATTTGCGTACTCTTCTTCATAATCTCCATTCGTTATTGACAAGACAGTTGCTTGATTACGCGATTTATGTCGTAGAACAGCTAGAGAACGAAACATTCAATCGTGCTAAGTTAATGAATGTAGGATATGCCGAAGCAGTTAAAATGTACGATTGGCAGTGTTTCATATTCCATGATGTTGATTTATTACCAGAGGATGACCGCAATTTATATACTTGCCCAGAGGAACCTCGGCACATGAGTGTAGCAGTGGATAAATTTAATTATAAGTTCGTTCTTTCTTTGGGAGTTTTTCTTATTTCGAAGTCTCGAATTCGTTTGCATTAATTATGAAAAAAACCCCTGTTTCGCATACTCAGATTATTTTTTTCCATTGGTTTATTATTAAAATTATTAAAATGATTTCGTTCCAGATGGTTTGATTCAATATGTCTTTGGCTTTTATATCTTCTATATTCTCTATTCATATCAATAAACAATATTTACAACGACATATGCTACTTTTGTTATTAGTATCATAAAAATAATTGATAACTGAATAAAAAAATAAATTAATTAATCAAATTAAAGTTTAAAAAAATAAAAAATTAATTGGATGTTTTAAATTGTTAATAATTGTTAAATTAATAATTATTAAATTAATTTAATTAATGTTTAATTATGCTATTTATTTAGATTGCCATATAAAACGATTTTCGGTGGGATTTGTGCCTTAACAAAAGAACAATACCTAAAAATTAATGGTTTTTCGAATGATTTTTGGGGTTGGGGTGGTGAAGATGATGATATTTATAGAAGGTTTGTTTTATTTATCGTTTTTAATAAATATGCAATAGAGGTGGTAGAATGGCTTAGTGGATTTTTTCGGATTACGACTGTTCTGTTCCTGCTGGAATGAACATTGCAAATTTTGTATTCTCCGACAAGTTAGCAGAGGGAGCCAAACCAGAAGTAATGAGCGCTCTAAAAAAAAAGTCAATATATATCCGATATATATCATTACTTTTCATAATAACTTATTTATCTTATTTATTTTAAAAATTATAAAAATTATAATTAAATACAATAAAAACTCACATCTGCAGCATTAAAATTGCCAATTCAAAATATAATTCTTAAAGAGTGGAGAATTTAAGAGAAAAGGAAGAGTTTCAAAAAAATAATTATTTGTAATAATTATATTGTAGAGTGACGATGGCTGGATACCAAATTTCGCGATATCCACCGGAAATTGCTCGGTACAGGATGATCAAGCATGAGAATGAAAAAGGAAATTCACTAAACAAGTGAGTTTCTTCTAATAGTCCTTATTGTTGAAAAATGTATGGAATAAATTTAAGTTATATATGATTTTATTGGTGCGAGATCATAAAATGGTATATTCGAGTTTATGTAGGCCTTGTGCCTTGCGAATGTCATTTAAAATGGAATCCAAGTGGCATTGGAATCCAGCTCTACCTCTATCCCCGAGCGGCTCTCTGAGGTCTAAGGGAATCGGCCAGGCTGATGGTGTTGGAAAAAGAATGTACTCTTGCGATCGTGAATTGAAATATTTATTAAAAAAAAAAATACAGTTTACTATAATAAATGAAAAATAGGTATTTAATAGGTTCGAAGTAAAAGCGAATATTTAATAAAAAAAGGGGAAAAAAGGGGTGATGAAGCAAGGTGAAGGCGATTCTTGATATTGTCGATCCAACATTGACCGGTTCTCCTTTGCCAATCTGGGTGGTTCCTCCAAAACATTGGTAGATCAAAAATTACAATTACATAAAAATTATTTTTATTCAAAAAAAAATTTTCTCATGGTTTTCTTTTTTGATATGCAAATAAGGTGACTTTACAAAGTAGATAACATATGCGTGAACAAAGAGAGAAAAAAAAAACAATTTTGTGATTTGCATATTGTTAACTGCTTATGATGTGAAAAGCTTTGTGAAAATCTTGTTTTTCCCTTTTTAAATTTTAAAAAGCTTTATGAATTACCGTATTACTATTGTTTTATTTTATTTCTTTCCTTCGGTTGTTTCCGACAGATGGTATTGTATTTAAACTCCACAATTTTATATTTGTTTTCTTTTTTCTTTTTCTTCTGTTTTCTTTTTTTCAAATTTTTTTTATTAATCGTAGATCAAAGTCTTAAAATTTTTAAAACTGAATGATAAATAAATTAATATGAAAAATATCATATTTCCATATTAACAACAGAATTGTAGAATTTGGGTATTTTTGTTTTGTGAGGTGTAAATCGGCTGAATGATATATTTTTTTCTAAGTCATTCACCATGAACTGAGTCTTTATCTTGTGACGAGTTAATCTGCCATTAAGAAAAAGAAGAAAAAATTAAATATAAATTCTATGCAAAATTAACTCTTTTTTAGATGTCGTTATCAACTTTTAACTGCAACAAAAGAAATGTGGAAGAAGAGTGGTATTTCATCGTTAAAATATAAGTTAATTAGTCTTAAGACTTTGCCTCTTTTTACACACATCAAAGTAAGCCTTAATGAAGAAGAATCGCGAAAGCAATTGAGGCGTGAAGGATTCACAAAGTGTTGATCTTATTAATATTCCAACGTGACCGGCGATCGCACTTAATCTCTCCGAAAATCGTCAATTTTTTTGTAATAAAAGGAATAAAGTTGAAAATGGTTAATGGATATTGATAATAGGTCATTTGTGGAAATCTCAGGTGTCATTTAATAAAATTCATAAATTAATTTTGTAATTAATTTTGTAGGAGAACTTATTTATTGTGCTTGTCCACTTGTGTGACTTCAGTCACCTCTATGCAATAGGATGGAATTTTACTGAATTTGCTGATTTACTATTGTATTTTTTAATATAGATTAATTTTTTATTACCATAAACTTTGTCGTTATGAACAAGTTTAAATCTTGGAATCTTTTATTAATTTGTAATAAAATTATATTAATTATCTTTTATATTAATTTTTTATCTTTACCGTTATTTTTAACGAGTCGTATTTAGACAGTTTTATATCTTTTAAAAAATTAAAAAATTTAATGATGGATTTCATTATTAACTATTATTTGTTTTTCTTTAGCAATTTCATTTATTGCTTTTGTCGAATTTGTCGAACAAATTTTTCGTCCAATCCAATTTTTTTCTCTCATTTACATTAATTTTTTGCTTTAATATCCAAATTTATATTTGTACAATGGAATTTGTACAATTTAATATTTCATTTTAGCTGTTTTTACTGGATTATTTTTAATAGAACTTTTTTGGAAAAAAAGCGAGTAAAGAAGTAAAATTGGACTGGAATTGGATTGATGCATTTTCTTATTTTTCTTGCTCAAATTTTTATCTAATTTCTTTGATTGCTTTAATTTATTAATATTTATTGCTTTTGCTATATTCTTATCATTATAATGCAGGGTAAGTAAGTGAAGTGCTCACCATTTCTGGTTAAATTCGTTCAGGTAACTCTTTAGTATAGTTACTCTTTAGTATAATCTTTTACAGAGGAATTAGTCACTTGAAGATAGAAGTGCAGGGTCCAGTCCTACCAGTTTTTACTCCTGTCAAAGGTCGAACTTTTCCCTCATTACGGCGATCTTTCACCTCGGCCTTTCTGTTTTTTTTTATTTTACATGGTAAGGAAGTTTTCCGGCTTATAAATAAATGGCAGATAAGAAAAGAATGCAAAGCCATTATCTTTTAAACATTTTTTTATAATTTGTTGACTTTTAACTTTATTTTTTTAAGCCATTTTCTTATAGTATTTATAAAGATAACTTAATTATTCACTTAATGATCTTCATGCATTTTTATTGTTATGCAGATTTTCGAATAATGGGTGGTTATTTGCTAGCGAAATTTGTGAAATTCGATAAAAAGCAAAGCCAGTTTGATTAAAAGCGAAAGTCTGACTCGAATCTTTTAATTTATAAAAGTTATAATTTTTTAGTATTTGTTCTCCATTTATTTACTTATATGTTAATTTATCTTATTTTATTAAAAATGTAATCGTAATAAATATAAATTTTCTTATTAATTTTGTCTACTTTTTTAAAATGACATTGCTCAACAATAAAAGACAATTCAGGGAACAACATCCGTGGCCTATAAATATATAAATATGATATATATATATATATTCATATAGATTTCCTTTAGAAGTAGATATGTTTTCCATTTTCGACCAAATGATTGTTGTAGCATGTTCGTTGACTGGGGTCATAAGTGAAGCATGAGAGAAACGAAAAATGAAGAATGCTATTAGAAGAGGTTTTGGATCCAAAAAATTTGTTACGCAAGACGAGCTTAGGTTAATAATTTCAGACTGAATCTTAGAAGTTTATTCCTTTCATTCTTTTTTTTGGCATTAGTTGGTGTTCAATACCCAACCTTGGTTTCAATGTTAACTTAGTTATAAGATTAGTAAAAAATGTTTCATAGTGATAATGGAGAATTGCGTCCCGCTCAGTTATATTCGAATATGAAAGGTACGAATGAAATCGGGTGAACGAGAGACGACGTGCTCGAATTCAGCATAAGAGATTTGATCATCGCCGTCTAGGTCAGCTTCTTCAATCACCTTAAATAAAATAAAATTTCGCAAGAATTTCCAGAAATTGTCTTCTTAAAAGGTTGTTTTATTTGAACTTTTTGCCATCAAAAAGGGATGGGTAATAAATAAATGGAGAAATGGAGAAATTCGAATCAAACCCGTTCAATTATAAATTCGACTTCTTCATCGGTAAGTTCATCTCTCGTAAGGCATCGGATCACTTTACATAGATCATCATGTCCAATTTGTTCATCGCCATCAAAATCTGATGAGATTTTGTCAAACAGAATTTCAAAGCAACTATCCAGGTTATGCTGGTGACCTACCCGTCCCCAAGTTCTCTATCCTGTCTTGCCAATGAAGCCTGTTATCTGTTTTTATTATTCGAAAAATAAAAATACCATAAATTCTAAAGGCATATTTTAATTTTAGTTGTAATGGTGCCATTTCGCTGAACACAGAAAACATATCGAGAAAATCATCGAAAGTAAGATTGCCACATCCATCATCTGAGAATACCTGACAAATACGACGCCTGAATGGATTTTCCTAAAAATTCAATTTTAAGAAAGAAAAAAATTTTTTCTCCAAAGATGTTTAAATATGCGGACAAACATGTAAACATGCTTTTATATTAAATATAAAAAATTTAAATTGAATTTCGAACTAATTTTCGATAAAAATTTTCCAATCTATATAATATAATTATAATTATAACTATATAATTGAAGAAAAATTTGAGGCTGAATCTAAAAACTTGGGGATGAAATTGTTTGAAAAATAGCGATTGATTTAGGCTACGACCAGATTTTATCGGCACAGCCGAATGGTCGTTGCTTAATTCATCGTTTCGAGCTCAAAATGCTTTTTAAAACCGACAGGAGTAAACCCTCCCTCGGTAGGGTGCTCGCAATCCATCTATATTTCTACTGCAGAGTGGTTCCTTGTTCTCTGAAATTTCTCACCGTACTAACAGTCGTGGAGCGAACTAATGATCAGCGCTAGCCATTTTTTCAAGCCGCTCTAAGAAATAAGCAGTGGTATTACATACATTTTTTATTTATGAAAATTAGATTATTTCGATTATTAATAACAATTATTATTAATATTCTTATCATTGCAAATGCAATTATTAATAATTAGCAATTATTGCCATTAAATCCTGCAAAGAAACTCTATGAATGTAATTTCTGTTTTTTATTATTTTTGTTGATTTTTTTAAGAAATTTTAACTTAACTTTACCTATTTTCATTTGTACATATTTTAATATTTTCACCTTAAGTTCGGGCATTTTTTCAATTTCCTCAAAGCACAAAGTAATGATTGAAGGCCTTGTTCCTTGCATATTTGTTGGTACTTTAACCGGATTTAAAGTGTAAAATCGTTTATATAAACGTAATATATCTTTTCTTGTGAAAAAAGTACAATCCTGAAAGACTTTCGCATATCGAAAGAATGTCATTGTTAACATTATTATAAGTCTGTTCTGAGACGTAGGTCTATTCTTTCCATTTCCACGATCTATTCCCGCTGATCAATAAAGTAATTAATTTCTAATTAATAAATTTTTCCAATTCAGTAATGACTTGAGAATTCCAATTTCCTTCTTAGTATGCAAATTTAACTGGAAAAATTAAAGAATTTCGCATAGCACTTTTTATTTACCATTTTATGAGATACCAGATGGTACTGGCGACCCATCTGTCAGTAATTCTGTCGCCAACGACTTCCTACTTTTTTTTCCAGAAATTTCCAGCTATGCTTACAGCCAGTGGAATTAGCCCAGCTAGAAACAATAGAGTCAACCATTTCTATGAAATAAAATGATCTCAGTTTTAAAGTCGCAATTAAGTTGACATTTTGTCGAAAATACGGATTTAAAAAAATTCGAGATTTAAAAATAAAAAATTCCATAAGTGAATACTGAAACACAGAAAAATGAGTGCAATCCTTATACTATATAAAAGCATTGTGCTGAATTATTAGATGCTATTTATGTATGTGTGGACAGAATAGCCGAGCAATTTCCGCCTGGGTCATCGTTTTGACCACCGCGATTCGTCATCTGTCAACGGCGAAACCCGTCGCTGAAAGATGCGACATGCTGCTGGGAACTCTATGCTTATGCTTCTATCCCTAAGCGATTCCTCACTTCTTCCCACCAAGTCAGCTCGAAATTGCAGCGAACAGTGTAGTGACACGGTGAATGCAAACCACTTATTTATTTATAAACATTCCGATGATTTCCTACAAAGTTTTGCTAATGAAAATCTGAAAATCTGATGAAATATAACTGTTGAAAACCTGATATTCATCGAGTTGTTCTCGCGTGAAAACGCCACCCTTTGAAAATAAATTAAGATCGGTTAATGAACTTCCAGTGTTACCCATCGTCGACATTCAGTGAGCGAAGATAACTCTGATAAAAGCTTTATTGCAGTGGACGGGTGCCTGCCGAAACATGTGCTATATTTTGTTCTGTGTAATCTCTTCGTTTTATCAACGAGTAATCGATAGTTGTTCGTATACGCTGCTATATTTTGAAGCCAATAAAATTTATCCTTCACTCGTCGATGTCGGTGTTGCATAATCACCACGAATGAATAATTATTTTTGTGGGGAAAACAAAATCGCCAATGATTTATAATTTAATTTATCGATTTCTTTTAATCAGTTAATTTAGTTTAGTTTAGTTTTAATGAATTCGATAGGCCATAAAAAAATAAAATATCGCCACAATGCTTTTCTTTATTCGTCAAACTTAGAAATGCATATATTCCATCAATTCTTATAGTTAATCAACACAATCAACAAGTAATCATCACTGCAGTAGAACTAACAAAAAAGGAGCTTAAAGTGGCTAAAAGACCCTAACGACATTCCGACATAATGAAAAATATTAGCAGAATGAATAAAGAAAATAGAAATAAAAAAAAGTAATATGGGAAAAATCTGTGCACTTTTGAATTTTAATTTAATTTTGCCGATAAAAATAAATAAATAAAATCCCACAGAAATTTTTGACGGAAATTATATTTTAAAAGCCCTAAAACCAAACATTAAATGAAGAAAAATATTTTAAAATATAATTTTAAAATTCAAAAATATGCACATTTATGTAAATGAAAATATGAAGGAAGTGTCATGGACTATCAAATAATGTTTAATATCAAAATGAAACAAAATAAAACATTCTATTAAATAAATTAATGCTATGTCTTCGGAAATTTTCTTTCAAATCTACTTTTTTTCGCACCAAAGATAAATCAAATTTGTTGCGTAAAAAAATTTAATCTTTTTTATAAAACGAAGATTTCAAATATATATATATATATATATATAAATATGGGGACACATATACTTTTTCACTTTTCTCGTGGTCAATTTTTTCCTTGCACACTTTGTTTGAAGCATAGCTCAACTTGTATTACAACCAAAATTCCTATCTTGACGTTCATCGTCAAAATCATTTTGTACAGCGAAACCGATTGAAGCAACGACCATTTCGAAAAAACCCGTATTCATACGCCTTTGGTTCTCAGCGCATAATGTTGAAAGATTTCTGTGTTCGCGACAAGAATCTGCCTAAAATTTTTGAAATATTTCAAAATTTCAAAGCATATAAATAAGTGAAAATGTTTAACGATGACTGGTTTTTTCTTGCAATATTCTTTCTCCTTCTTTTAAAATTTCTAATAAATTCTTGATATTTTTTGAATAAAAACTTAATATAAAAATGCAATAAGAAATTTGTATTATATATTGTACTTTAAAAAAAAAAAAGAAAAGAAAGGAAAAAGAAACTTTCTGCATAAAACGACGTAAGTTTTCCAAAAATTTGTTTGATTTCATTTTTTTTTTAATCACTAATGGATCTATTTTAAAAAAAAATGGATAAGTCAGTTTAGCCAATAAAATAATAAATTAGCAACACAATCCTAACTCCATGATACAAATCAAATATGTCCACTTCCTTCAAACAAATTATTTTCATAAAACTTACCTCAGAAACATTTTTATTTAATGGCTCCCAAAAACGAATGACACGTTCTATTCCTGAAGTAGCTAACAGACAACATGAAGGATGTGGTTGCACACAATTTAAAATATTATTGTCAGCTTTAAAACCCTTGATAAGTGCACCAGAGTTACGCTCCCAGATGAATAAAGATCCACAATCACTACCTGCTGCTATGAATTCGTCGTTACCACCAAACCACACAGCTTCCTGAAGAATAAAAGCATTCATTTCGTATAGATGATTTGATTGTGAAGAAATACGCTCATAACCATGGAAAATATCTTAGAATATTGCGAAATAGCCAGCAAACAATCACTGAAAACTTTTTTTTTGAAAAAGTTTTCACCATTATTGGTTAAACTCGTTCCACTGGCTTGTCGCACTGGACAAATATGCCAGGAGTTCCTTGGAAAATATGGCGATAAAAAGTGAATCGCCAGCATCACTGATTTTTGGACAGGTTTGTTCTTGCGGGGAGTGGAACCTCAACTCAGAATTGAGCAACCCACCAAGCCATCCTATCCTCAATCACTGAAAACAAAACATTTGATATATTTGTTGGCATTTAGTACTTCATCTCTATTAAAACAAACAAATTTCATTTTAAGAATGTTCAAAAAAATTGTTCCTAATCTTAGAAAACGTCTCATTGTAACCAGTATAGCCAACCTAAGCAAAAATGGCAGGCGAAGTTAAAAAAAAAATTTACACTATTTTAAAGAATTCATCAACAACTTTAAATAACAATTTTCCTTTATTAATAAAACCATAAAAACCGAAAACCATAAAATTCAATAGAATTAAATATTCAACAGTTCCTTTTTAGAAAAAAAAGGAGGAAACTTTTATGTTTTAAAGCCAAAATGGACCTTTATATCAGTATTCGTGTTACAATGACCACAGAGACGTTGCATATAATCACTGGTAGTACTTGATTTCCATTCGACTTCTGTCGTTGAATTATCGTCTACCATTCCATCAAGTCTATCAGCCATAACATAACCAGGAAACCTTTGCTTTAATGGATAACATAATAAAATTAATTACTTAATTATACTAAAGAACCATCAAAATAAAGAAAAAACCGTAAAAATACCTTAAATGACTGAATAATTTTTCTCGCAGAATCATATTGCTTCAATTCGACTAAAGCCTTAACAATTCGATAATAGAGTTTGGTGTTCCTTGGTTCTATTTTTAAAGCACGAATCATATCCATTAGACTCGCATATGCATCACCTTCCCACAAACGACGAAGGTAGCAAGCACCACGATTGGACAATAAAATCGATAAGTCAATAGCATATTCACGATCTGGCGGTGGATCAGTTCTGAAATAAAAATGAGATGCCTAAATGCCGACAGAAATACCAGAAGATCTCATTTAATTCATAATAATTTTAAAAAAATATAATATTGCTACTAAAAATACAATAATATGCAGCAATAAAAAATAAAAACACGTCAGAACTGAATGCATTATTGAGATGTACTCATTAATGAATTAAGACATACCCGCACAATTTCTCGCACTCAAGAACTGCATAACTATACATTTCTATTGCATTCGTATATTCCCGATTATTAAAATGAATCTTAGCACGTTCCCTTGTAGCTTTGAACCTCTCACTTCCTTTCTGTTCAATATTATCTATATTTTCAGAATATGGCACATTTCTTTCGAACACTTCATTAAGTGACTGCAATGTGTCCGGCTCATTCACCCTGAAATTGAAAAGAAATTGTTCTCTACAATTTTTTTTATAAATCACTGAATAAATAGATGTTGCACGAATCCAGTATCCAATAAATAAATGACTATGAAAACATTTTCACAAATCAAGCAGATGAAACAACTACAAAATACTAGGGTTGTACCGAATATCCCTTCGGCTTTGGCTTCGAACGAAAAGCTGCAACCGAAAACCGAAGGTTTAATTATTGTGTTAATTCTACTAAAAAGCTATAATAAACTTTATTAAGCATCAAATTAGCACCATAAAAATTTAAAATAGTCTAACGTCTAAATTTCGACAGTTCGATAGTTCTATGCACAATGACAAAATTTTGACAATGGACGCACAAGTTTTCAATTAAATTTTAATTCACTTTTCATTTATCATTTCATTTATTGACATGATAAGGTCATGACTATTGCAGCTAGAAGAGCCGTTCAATTTATACTATACTATCTACACTATCTTATGTTGCATAATGACTAGAAATTTTCGTTATCTATCAATATCAGTAACATCAAGTGTTCATCGTTCTTGGTCTGCATTGCTATTAATGGAATTAGACAATTTTATAAGGCAGTTACTTGGTACCAGATAACACCTAATCCTTTGTATCACTCGGAATTTCGGTTTCGCCCAAATTAAATCACGCTGACTGTGGCAGAATTATTTTAAAATTCCACATTTTGCAAACTTAGATGTTTCGATGGGATCATTCGTTTTGTTTTTTATCCAGAATGCCAGGTATTTCAACATACAAATTATTTTGGCAGGAAAGGTCTTCAACTTTTGAGGAAATTATTCACCACATGAATACTGAAAAATTAATTGCTCTTTCAGCCATTATAAATTATTGTGCATTCTAGCTCATTCACTCAACAGATTAACAGAATCTCAAGACGATCTGCTACCGTGGCATTAAACGAAATTTATTTCACAGTCGTTAGATAACGTGGAATTAAATAAAATTTATTTCACAGTCGTTAGACAAACTATTTAAACACCATTGTTTCCTTTTCCATAGTTCAAAAATTTGTGCTTTGCTTTGCTCATCCGCTGAAGATTCATTGAATATAAAAAATACTACTGAAAACATTCCTTTAAAAAAACGAAAAACGACTATAACGTGGGAATTTATTGATTTAATGGAAGAACTGAATGATAAAAATTGCGGACTTATTAGAAGCATTCATGAATGAAATTATTAAACGAGAGATTCAGTTCCATTCAGTTAGTGGAGTCAAAGTAATACTTTATATTCAGTCCCAATCAGGATACCTCAATCACTTGACAACATTGCAACAAGTGTACTATCCTACCCAGCAAAACAAGAGATATTGGTCCATGTCACAAAATATCTCTAGGGCCTAAAAATGTTCATTTCATTTTTCTGAAATCAAAATTTTATCAAGATTTCAGCGCAGGATTGAACATATGCCGCTTATGTTAGATAATTTTTTATTTTCTATTTATCCTGCCTTTCATAAAATTTTCGGGTTTTGGCTTCAGACCCCGAAATTTATGCCATTCGACTCTGATCAAAAAGCAAAATTTGCCTTTCGGTACAACCCTAGAAAATACTCATTTTTTAAATTATCTCTATTTTTCGAAATTTATAATCTCGCAATTTTTTAATTTATCTTTATAATTTACCTTGTAATTTATCTAATTTAATTTATTTATTGTTTCTATTTATTTTGTTTTCTATTATTTTATTTTTTCTCTTTATTTTTTTACATTCATTTAATTTTTCTTTCCAGAAAGATGAAAAATAAACCTATCAAGTACATTGAAAATATAAATTTGTTCCCCACCAATATTTGCGATCATTTCATTACCAAGTGAATTGAAGCCAACGTGTGTAACTGAGAGAGATCGGAAAGAATGCCTTGAATTAAGCTTTGTAATCGGAATATGACCTAGAAAAAATCAAAAAATTGTAGTTAGTTTTTTGTTATTAATCAAAAAATTTCACAAACTTCATAAAAAAGTGATGAAAAATATGCGACTCATGGAAACATTTTTAGTAGAATAATCACAAGAATAAAAAGAATGAAAGGGGAAAAAATCACCGGGAATCAGTTCTAAAAGTGGTTTAGATAAATTTCTACGATCATATATAGGAACCGCCGCTTCATTTAATGCCACTGCAATCATTTCAGGTCGTGTCTCATTTATTGCTAATGATTTACATTCTTTGCCAGGAAAAACTATTAAAGATAACGCAGTCGAAGTACGAGCATCATATTGCCTGAAACAAAAAAATTCTAAACAAAGCCTTCTCAAAATTTCTTTAATGTGTTTCAGAATAAATAAAAATGAATAACTAGACAATAAGAAAAAAGAACTGAAAAATTTAAAAAAATTTTATTCACTATTTACTATTTTTTAGGAAATGATATTAAAATTTTTTTAAAATTTTTCATAGAAATCCAAAATAAGTTTGAAAAAATTTTAATGGCTGAATATAATAAAAATTGGTGTTTAATTGATGATAAGATTTTCATAATTTATTTTCGAAATACTCTTGGCATTCCGACTCAAAAAAATAATTATTACTTGATAAGACCATCCTCTGATGCAGACCAGAAAATTAAAGGATCAGAATTCGTTACTGCGAGACGTTTTACGCGACCATCGGACCACCAAACAGTAGGAGGATCACTATTTCTACCTGATAATACATGCATTCGTGCGCTACTATCGCCTGCAAAAAACTTATAGAAGAGAAATTTTAAAAAATTATATTGAAAAAATCATCCTGAAAAAATTGCTAATTATCGCAACCAAGAAATGGAATGGCTCAGTTGCTCTCATTTTTAAAAATCGGAGGTGCTAACGACTCGCCTATATTTCTATCGCCAGGGAAATTCGTTTAGTCCAACAAATTAACAGAGCGAGCCTAATGAAGTAATGAATATTCTTAGAAAAAAAAAACCAAACCTGCAGAAATGAATTAAACTATAAAAAATAAAAATTATCAAGAAAATCATATCGCAAATTCAGAAAACATTCGAATAAGATGGGAGCAATTAAAAAATGAAAAAGCGAATCAAAATACCTGAAGCAGTCAGAATTATTTCATCTGCGCCACCTGGTAGAAATTGCACCGAAAAAATATTATTCAAATGACCGGAATTAAAACTATGCACCTTTTCTCCTTTTATGTTCCATAAAAAAACTTGCATATCATCTGAACCACTCGCCAATAAGCTGAAATATTTTAAAATTAGTATAGGAAAGGAAAAGAATGAAATAAAACGAAAAAAAGAAAAAAAAAACTATAAGCAATTACTTTCCAGTTTGAACAATATATATATATATATACCTTTGGATATACCTTAATATATACCTTTATTCAAGGCTTATGATATATAATATATAATAAACAAGAAGCTTACAAATCATATTATAATTAAAAAAAGCAATTATCCGCCTCTCAAATTTATAAATTTAAGTTAGAGATATGTCATAAAATAGATATGAAATACATTAATAAAAAATTATAAAAAATGATTACATTTAAATATTACATTTGAAAATTTTATAAAAATAATTATATAAAAAATAATTAATAATTATATAAAATTAAAAATTACGTTCCACTTCTGTTCCACTGCAGACAGTTAACACAGCCTTCATGACCCTAAATTCAATTAAAATTTCAATATCGCATAAAAAAATTATAAAATTATTATTATTATTAAAATTATTATTGTCACAAGTATCACCACAAAATTACGATAAAATTTCGAAACTGAATATATCAATATCATCAATTGTCTTTTTCCACACCATTCATTACTTCTGACTAGTCTTGCTCTACTGATTATTGGAATTACACAGACATTAGAATGGGATATTTTAGCTAGATATTGTTCAGAGAAAAAATTATAAGTTGATTCCCAGCATTGCCCGAAATTTTTAATATTAAGCTAATCGAAAAATAATTAATTATTTTATTTACTTTTATTTGTTCTTCATTTCAATTTTTAGATATCGATTTTAAACCATACCTAAAAATACGGGGATAGGGGAAATTTTTAAAGTTCACCAGAATGTATCAGCAACAAATCTAATAATAAAAAGCTTACCTCGAGAGTCAAACTGTGTGTCAAATGTTCAATCAAATGTCGTTCAGCAACTGATTCACGCACAAAATTTATAGGGGAAGAATGTAATTCACGACGCAAAAAACGGCGCTCAATTGAGCATCCTGAAACAATTTCTCAACTTTAAAATCAAAAATATATGAAAACGAAGTAATTAAAATGAATGATACCACATTATTAATATTACAGTATAAAATATTTTATTCAAGAAAAAATATTTATAAAACAAAAACTGTGGAAGTATTAATATAAAGTTTTAATTATCCATAATTATTCGCCATCTAAAAGCAAGCAGCATTACTAGTTAGGCTTCGCTGGCTACAAAAATGAAACGGTTCCAAGCCGCTCCATCCATTATTATACTTGAAAACAACAGAAACCACTCCTTTACCTAAACAAGCAAGCGTTCATTGCATGTGAGATTCTCTCAGCTCGGTGGAGAAAAATATACCTTAGACATGAATGATCTATGGTAGAGAACTTTTTGATATCCTCGATCCACATTGGCTGTGTTTCATAATTATAAAAAAATTTAGTAAAAATTTAATTTATAACGACCTTTTTTTGTTGAAAACTTTAATATAAAGTTTAAACCTTTAAATGGCCCATTATATTATATATTATATTCAATATTTAGATTTCTAATTAAAATTACAAACAAACCAGTTGAATAGTTTTTGCCTTACATAATATGCATGACAGATAATAAAATATGCAGTAGCATTGCATTCAATGTAATAAATTCATTCATAAATTTCAAGCAAAGAATTATAAATGTACCTATACAAATGGTACTAACAACTGGTGGCGGATATGATGGCTCAGTGGGTTGCTCAATTTGGAGCAGCCGAAGCTGCTGTTTGATTTTCGATTCCCAGCAAGAGCAAACCTGTACAAAAATCCGGGTGATGCTGGCGACTCACCTGTACTTCTATCGCCAAGGGATTCCCTGGCACATTGCTCAATGCGACAAGGCAGTGGAGCGAGTTCAACCAATAATGGTCACTCTTAAGAAGAAGAAGAAGAAGAAGACTAACAACTGGTAACAACGCGCCAATATTGTGCATCTCATATATTCACTGGCCTAATGATGCATAATTTTGCTACTCTCTGTATATAATCGTTCATTTCATTCTTCACCTCCTCAATTCATAAAAAAACTACTATTTAACATTAAATAGCCAAAAAATTCCCTTCATCCTTTCTTTAATAATAAATAATAAATGACTAACGATCATCGAGAAATATCGGCATATTGCGACTGATCCGCAATCAAAACTCCTCGTTAAACCAATTATAACGCCACTTTTAATTTCACCAAGCTTGAAACAACCATAAATTAATTATTACTTTAAAAATCACCACGAACTGGAAAAAAAAAATCACCACGAACGGGAAAAATATATAAATTATTTGAATAGGAAAAAAGTTTTAAGCGCCTTAAAAACTCGTTGGAAAACAATAATTTTAATAAATGAAATAATTTAAATATGGAAACGATAGTTTAAAGAAAATAAGAAAAGTGTGGTGAAACAAATGAGGCGAAGGTGAAAAAATGAATGTGAGCATTGGCCATTGCTTGGCCATTTCACTCGGAGACACGCGGATCTCCAGCGACAGTCCGATTTCACGTTCAACTTGCGTCCACAAGGAAGAGAGCACATGAACCCGCAAATTTAAGTGCACGTATTACATCGATGGTATTCGAGCAGAAATTCAGCATAAAGTGGTAAAATAAATAAAAACGGGAAATTTCTAAATATTTAATTCCTCACGAGTTCTTAACCAAAACTTGATCTGCTCAAATGAATCCACTATAATTAATTAAAAACGATAAAAGAATTCGGTTCTATTCTACCTACACCGATAACAATTCACGTGATTTTCAACTAAAAATTTGTCGAATTAACATTCTGGGCCGTGTTTCATTGTGATGATAGGAGGACCCGAATTACGCGAAAGTAGCTCCATGTCAACCACTGGCACACATAAAAGGACAAAGAGAACACGAGCAGTCCCAAAGGCTGATGAATATCTAAGGGAAAATAGCAAATAATAACGAAACCGACACAAATTAATGAATCAATGACCATGACAGGGCCGCACTTTCTCCGTAGCGACCCACGGCTGCCCTTTTTCTTACGCAGCTAGTAACTATAATTCAATCATCGTACAGCTTGAAGCTGATAGATAGTGATTGTTATTATCGATCTGGTTCAAGTTGATTAGAATTTCTCTTTACAGGTTGACTGTCGTTGTTTGCTTTAGTTTATTTGGAATGTTTGCATCAGAATCATGGAAGGTTTTTCAAATTTTTGTTGGTAGAACTAGAAGGTGTTTGGCGCTCGCCATTTCTGGTAGGTTAGTGCTCGCTGTTGGTACTGGGCGAGAAGATTCTTCCAGCGGAGTCACTGGGTAAGAACGTGTTCGGTCCCTCTGTCGCCGGAGGCAGAGTCCGGGTGGAGCTGACCCACCCTTGTGCAGTTACTGGAATGGAGGACAGCAAGTTCTTTTCTCTCATTATTTCTGCAATTTGAGGATACAGCTGGATCCCTAGCATTACATTATATCCATCAGATTATTGAGATTTATCAGTATAATTTGGATCTGTTGAAGGAGGTAATAGGTTATTTGCTAGCTCAAACACTTTTGTACAAAATTTTAATTTTGATAACATTTCGGTGTGATATTGCGATTATTTTTCTCCGAGTAAGGAACTAATTTTGAGGGAAAAAATTCAGTTTTTGCAATTTTTTCTATTCCAATACTTTCCAAAAAAACTTTTTTGATTGTGATTACTAATCTTTTTGATTTTATTTTCAGCACTGTTAAGATGGTTTCAACGGATTTCAGGCGAATTTAGCGAGCGACGAGAGAGTATTGGTGCCGTATAACATAACTTAATTCAGAGCATTGGTTAATTTAGTGGTTAGCCATTTTTTTGGGTTCGCTTCATAGGCTATTGGCACACTTTTTCGCTTGGTTAAATAGAAGTACAAGTGGATCTTTAACACTATTATAACTTGTAAAAAATTACTTGTAAAAAATTTTCCTTTTCATTTGAAAGAATTGATGAAGTTATCCTCAGAATAATGAATCGACGTATTAATCGTTCGTATTTTATATTGCTATATTGTTTATATTGCTGATATCAGGTATTTGGAAGCAGAAAAATGGGTGGTTGCCTTTCGAAATCTCATCAACCCGCAGTAACGGTGAATAGTCAACGAATTAATAATATTCCAAAATTTTCGAATGATCTTTCTGTAGTTGAACCACTTAATGAGCCGATTGGCAATGAAGCAGGCACAATACGGCGGCAGGGTACCCAAATACTGCATGGTATTTCTTTTTTTTTAAACAATTTTAAAGCAGTTTTATTGCCTTTTTGTTAAATGTGAAATATTCGATTGAATTATTAAAAGTTGCAAAAAAATTTAATAAAAAATTTGGGTTAATAACTTTAATTAGTTATTTGTTCAAATTAAGCATATAATTTCTTTTCTGAATTTTTTTCGCTACCATTTCTGATTAGGCCCATTCCGTTGGCTTATCGTATCAGATAAATTTTGGCAGGGAGTTATTTGGCAGTAGAAGCGCTAGTGTATCGCCAGCATCATCTGGAAAGACAGGTTTTATCTTATCGGCAGTTTAAATATAGCATCGACACTCCGAAATGAGAACAACAACCCACTAAGCCATTCTACTCGATAAAAAAAATTTCTTGAAAAGATTTAGTTTGATTGACAGTAGAATTCGAAATGTGGAAACAAAATGAGAAATTGAATGATCGTTGGCTATTAAGAATAGAATCGTTTTTTTTCTTTTGACCTATTTTAATTTCCGTTTTAGTCAAACTTTTTAAAATCAAGAATTTATTCATTTAAATTTTAATTTCTTTATTTTCATTTCCTATTTTTTATAAAATTTAGAAAATCGCTAAGTAAAAGATAGCAATTCCTTTAAATAATCTGGTCGTGCTAGCGCTAGTGATGATGATATTATTTGAATGATGCTCACAGTTAAATGATTCACTGAAAATATTTAATCGGTCAAAAATATCTTTTTTTTCTTTACTCAGTTGGTTTTTAGAAGATAGATGGCTTTAGTAAAATATCTTAAAAGTTTCATTAACTATTTATTTAGTTATAATTTTAGTTATTATTTAGTTATATGTAGTTGGTGAATAAAAGTGGTAGACACAAGTAATATCTCATTTTAGATTCACAAGAATTTTGATAAAATGAGCAAAGCAATTGAAATTTTAATAACTCTCCATGTTAGTCAGTCAAGTATGAGTATATATGAAAAATAATAAGATAATGAATCTTTCAGAAAAATTATTAATGAAAATAATAAATTTTTCAAAATTTTCGGAACAAGCAATTTCATGTAAAAATATCGAAATATCGACTCTACAACCTTGTTGATGGCATTTGTTAATATATTATCGAGCTATAAGTTTTAAATGTTTCGGTCTAATTATATTAAAGATCAATGAAAATTTGAAAAAATAAATGATCACATCGATAAATCCATCTAAAATTTTATAAATCATAATCAATCAAGGTTTTGTATATCATCTCTTTTTGCTGCTCTTATTCTATCGTTTAATATTTGAAATCTTAGAATAGAATATAAAAAACATTTTGCAATAATTTTATTGTAAATATCAGTGAATCTCGAAAGAAACTAGTTTATAAGAAATTCTTTTTAATAAATACGAATTTTCTGAGCGAAATTGGCTATTTCATACAGTTTGTTTTTTGATTATGGATAGTTATTCTTCCCAGTTTTTTCGCCATTAATCAGCATATTTGCATCGTTATTAACAAATATTTCGAAAAATAGGTCAATTGAATGACCTCAGCTCGACTTTTTTCTTTTTTTCATCTTTCTATTGTTCTTTTTTATATACCGATCTATCTGATTTTGTGAATTCCCGCTTTATTTCTTTCGAAGTCGTTTGCAATTCATTTCACTATCGTGATTCGTCCTTTGTTTATCGCTCACTGCCATCGCTCTGATATTAACTGAATTCGAAGACAATTACAGGAAATCATTGCTATGGAATCGCTTCAAATTTTTGCGATAAATTATTGTTACATCCTTCTGGGTAGGATGATAATTGCAATTTCATGCATGTGAAGTCCTGAAAGTCTTAAAATATTCTGGACATATTTTGACATATTTAATTTTTTTCGTTTGAGAATTGAAAATTTCTTGTATAATTTTTAATATTGTGCAGTCGATATTGACTTTTCATTAAATAATGTCTTTTTTTTTCCTTTTAGTTTTGGTGACTTTGGTCTTTTCTACTTCTGGATTTATTCCTGAATTTATTTTGTCGCAAATGGAAAAAGCTGAGCAGCTGGCTAAATTGTTGATAGTTGCAAATCCAAGATTACGTAATCCTGAACGCCCCAAAACATTTGCGAATTTATTTCGTTCTTCAGATTTATCTGCTGGTAAAGATGTTCTTATCGCATTATACGCATACGAATCACGTGCTGATGGCGACCTTAGCTTTCGAAAAGGCGAAATTATGTATTTGCTTGATCAGAGGTTTGTTCTATACTAATTTCTTAACAGCGAAAATGGTTATAATGGTATTCAAATATATATTCACTGAGATAAAAATAATTAATGCTTCATTTTTTTGTTTTTATTTACTTTTTTATCTTTCGTAATTTTTTAAATTAAAAAGCAACTCCTTTTTCTAATTTTTTAAAAAGTTCTTTTGTTTTATAAAAAAAATGAAAAATTTTTCAGCAATTCGGATTGGTGGTATGTAAGACATTCGAAAGGAGGAACTGGTTATGTACCTCGTAATTTCGTTGCTAAACAATTAACAATCGAAAGTGAAGAGTAAATTTTATATATATTTTATAATTTTATACATATATATGTATATTTAATATGTTAAATTTAGGTGAATATGATATATAAGTACATAAAGGATTTTTTTTCTATGTAATCTTTTTATTGCATCGATCCTCTTGGAATTTTTTTCTAGTTTTAAAATTGTTAGGTGGTATGCTGGTCGGATCGCTCGGAATCGTGCCGAACGTTTAGTACTGGCGAGTAATTTACCAAAAGGAACATTTTTAATACGTGAACGTGAAGCAGACACACGTGAATACGCTTTAACAATACGTGATTCAGATGATCAACGCGGTGGCACCGTAAAACATTACAAAATAAAAAGGTGAAATCTGAACGAATTTAGCCAACTTATCACTTCTTTTATTTTTAGTTTTATTAGCTTTTTTATAATTTTGGTTCGTTAATTCAATCTTTCTGAATTTTTTTAAAGGCTAGATGGTGATGGTGGATTTTTCATTACAACAAGGCGAACTTTTGCTACATTGCGTGATTTGGTCAGCTATTATTCAGGTAGAAATTCGTAGAAATATCTTGAAGCTCAATATTTTTAAAAGCCAATTTTCATGTTTTACTCGTTTCTTGTTCTACTGATTATTTCTGAAAATTTTATGGTTTTTTTAAATAGAAGTTGCGGATGGTTTGTGTTGTCAGTTATCATTCCCTGCTCCGCGTATCGCGCCTACACGACCAGATCTGTCACATGATACTCAGCAGGTACATCGTTCTTCGTTCTCTGCTTCGTTATCCTCTTATTTTTATTTTTTCTTTCTTGTTTTTATGATTTGGTTTGATTGATTGAACATGAAACAAATTCCCTCGAAATGTTCGACTTTCTTTTTTGTGCTACTGCAAGAGACTTGCTGTGATTACAGTGTTAATCACAGTGCAATATTTGAACAATAGCAGACAACAGCAAATAAAATACGAACAGGAAGTACTTCAAAAATGTAAATTTCACATCGAACTTATAGTGATTAATGGTTATGGATGTTTAATCAATGAAATACTTAAAGGGGAACGGACAGTGGAAACACAATATAATGTGATGAAATTAAAATAAAAATGAAAAAAAATAAAGGTCACACACTGTTAATGATTTCCTTCATCCTGTAGATATAATAGATATCAGGTAATGGCTCAATGAGTTATTACTTTCATTTTGGGACGCTGATGTAAGAGTTCCACTCCATTCATGAATGTTTTTCAAAAACTCTGGTGATTCAATCGGTTCACTTATATTCCTACTGCAAAGTGATTTCTTGACAAAATATAGTCCAATAAGTTAATGAAGTATAACCTAAAATGATCTTTTATTGGAAAAAAAATCGATTTTCAGGCATAGTCAAAATGGTTACACTGTCATTTCTTCAAATTTTTTTTTCCATTTTTATCTTCAAACCCATATTGAAACGAGAAATTTTGATTGTTTTTATAATTTTTATAGAACTGGGAGATTCCAAGAAATCAGCTACAATTGAAGCGTAAGCTTGGTGACGGCAATTTTGGTGACGTTTGGTATGGTAAATGGAGAGGTATGGTCGAAGTGGCCATAAAAACGATGAAACCTGGTACAATGTCTCCAGAAGCATTCTTGGGGTAAAGATGTTTATGTAGCAAAGAAAAAAAGCGAAACATATTAGATTCGTTTAGGTTAAATTATTTTAAGAAAGAATCATTGCAAACCTAGAAATCAAATTTTTTAAGCCGAAAATTATTAAATTAAAATTTTCAGTGAAGCACAAATAATGAAGCAATGTGACCATCCGAATTTGGTAAAATTGTATGCGGTTTGTACCAAAGAGGAGCCATTTTATATAATCACTGAATATATGGCAAATGGATCGCTGCTGCAATATTTGAGAAACGAAGGAAATACTTTAACCTTGCAAGCATTGATCGATATGTGTGCTCAGGTTGTTTTCCATTCCATTTTATCGCCAGAATTTGTACCTTGCTTCTGATTAAAAAGTTGTTTGCACTAACTTTTTTTTGATGCTAAAATATTGATATTCAATGTTTTTATCTGCCTTTGACCATATATATAATATATTTTTTATGGGTTCTCCGATTGAAAATGGTCTAACAAGATTTTTTAACAGCTCCTCTTACAGTTACTGGTTAGGCTGGCTCCAAGGGCTGCAAGGGTGCCTCCAAGCGGCGTGGTCTGATGCCATCGTCGACAGTATCGCTTCTCGGCCTACTGGCTAAGATCAAAGTGTGATCTAACAATCCATCCATCGCGATCGCATCCACTTAAACACTTAAATACCATTAGCAGTACCATCGCAGAGCGTCGCCTTCACTGGATAGGGCACGTTTGTCGCCCATCACAAGAATTGATATTTCGATACTGCTAAACCTTGTGCTGAGTCAAAGTGAAGTGAGCCAGTCAAAACCTGGATTGACACGGTCAAGTAAGATTTTGAATATATAAGGGATAAGCAGTACATGGTCTTAGAGATGGAAAAAGGAATGGCTTCTGTTACAGTCGACGACGTCATCAGATCACGTAACAAACGTACCCAATGAAAGCAATCTAACCAGTAATGGTGAGAGCTGTTACAAAAAGAAATGTTTTCAGGGCAATGCGAAATATGTCGCTAATATCAATTTTTTAGATTGCAAATGGTATGATGTATTTGGAGGAGAGAAAATTGGTCCATCGCGATCTTGCGGCAAGGAATGTCCTTGTGGGAGATAAGATATCTGGTGTACCTGTTGTTAAAGTGAGATTTGATATGCTATTCACTTCGTTCGGCTTGTTTTTGTTTAAAATTTAAGATTTTTTTTGCTCTACTTTCGATTCTTCATGAAATCTTTTATTTTTATCAAAAATCAGTTATCTTTAAGAAATATTTTAGGGTAAAAATTTTATAGGTTTTTCCTTTTATAGGTTGCTGATTTTGGATTGGCCCGAAAGTTAATGGAAGAAGATATTTATGAAGCTAGGACAGGAGCGAAATTTCCGATAAAATGGACTGCGCCAGAAGCTGCTACATGCGGCAATTTTACAGTAAAATCGGATGTTTGGTCCTATGGAATCCTTCTTTATGAGATAATAACGAAAGGACAGGTTCCATATCCAGGTGCAGTGCAGTGTGTTTGTAAAATATGTAACTGCAACGTATTGGAAAATAATTTCTATTTGGCTCATTAAATTTCGAAAAACATTATTTTATTATTTGTTTTTAGGGATGCATAATCGTGAAGTGATAGAACAAGTAGAACTGGGATATCGAATGCCTATGCCACGTAGTTGTCCTGAACAGGTTTATACTGAGGTGATGCTAAAATGTTGGGATAAGGTTACTTCAAGAGACTTTTTTTTTCAATTTACTGCTGTTTTTCAGATCTTATTAAGTATTCCTCTAATAATATCGAAAGGGTGATGATAGAAAAGTAAGAAAAAAAATTTTAAAAAATTTTATAAACTTTCATCTCTTTCATTTCTTTGACTATTTTATCAGCTTACAGCCAGATTATTTTATGCTTACAGCCAGATTATTTTAAAAAATTATTTTATATTATTTATTATTTTATAAAAAAATTATTATTTTATAAAAGTTATTTTAAAAAATTTTATAAACTTTCATCTCTTTCATTTCTTTGACTATTTTATCAGCTTACAGCCAGATTATTTTCCATTTATTTAGATCCTTTAGACTTTCCCAGGAAAAAGTTCAAAATCGTTGAAAGTTTTTAAATCTTTTGCAAAATTATTGAAATATACATTTCAATGTTTACATTATTTTACAATGTTTTTCCCTTTTCCCCTTTCGTTTTTAGTATTTTAATTTTTAGTATTTCTTAGTATTTTGCATCTCTTAATTTTCATTAATTTTCTAAGTATTGTTAATTGCTGAAATTAAATGAAATGGAAGTCATATTTTAATTAAATTTTTACCTGCAGGTTCCTGACCGCCGTCCTACTTTCGACCATCTCTTTCATTTTTTTGATGATTATTTTGTCAGCTCACAGCCAAATTATGTTCCACCATCGCAAAGTTGATTTGATTATTTGGGAATTGTACACCAACAGCTATGTAATGAATTATTTCGAGCGTTATTATTGTAGTCGATCATCTATGGTCTCTTTTATAATTATGTCTTCAAAGCAGAATATATCTTAACGATTTCTTTAAAAAAGGAAAGATCGTTTTGTAACTTTTTTTGTGCATATTACGTATATATGCATATGTGCACATTATATCGCTAACCAAACGATCTCGCCTTATCACTTAATGGAATCAGCTGAATCAGAAATGGCAAGTACTATTCGAAAAACGTATATGGGGAAGAGAAAGGATAATTTCATGGAATTGTTGTGTTTCTTTGATCTCTTATCTGCTTTACAAATTTTTACGTCTTATTCTAGGATATTCATCTATGCTTTGATTTTTATGTCATTTTCTTGTTCATGTTTATTTCTACTTACTATTAAGTCATATTGTTGGCATTAATCAACTGATCTTTGTCATAGCAAAAACCTTAATCACAATAAAGCTAAATAAAGTTAGTTCTATGGATTTACAAAATAAGTGGTCAGTTTTATTAATCAGTGAAGTGCACCCATGGTATAAAATACTCATGTCTTACGGAGTGAAAAAGTGAAAAGTTTGGTTTATGAACTTTTCGGAGATTTTTGGCAGTTTCTTTATTTGTAGAATTAACGACATTATCAATGAAGAAGTATGTCTTTTTATCGCCTATTTTTTTATTTGATTCAGTCTTGCATTGGTTGTTGGAGTTAAAGTATTTGGTACCAGAAATGTTATTAGAGAAGTTAGTTTACTCGTACTTCGACTTTTTATTTCGATTCCTAATTTTTCATTAAAATTAATTATTATTTTTATTATTATTTTTTATTTTTAATTAAAATTAATTTTGAAAAATTTCTAGAATTTCCCATCTTTAGTGAAAAAAATTGAAATTATGGCATATTTGTATTTTGCATAATTGTAATATTTAATATTTGATTAATATTTGATTAATATTTCTGCCTATTATGCCTTGGTTGCCGTCAGAAATTTTTTCTTTTTTTTATTTGTATATTGGATTTTTATAGAAATTTTCTGTTGTTTTGAAATTAACTGCAATTTGCATTCCAAAGTTTCTTTGTTTTTATCACTTCATTTTGAAAGAAGGAAATATTTCGGTAATTTCAGAGCCCTATAGGAATGAACAATATAAAATTATGAAAATTGCAGTTATATTTGAATAAGGTTTGTATTTTATTAGCTTGTAAATAGAATTTATTTTTCATAGGAATGGGTAAAACTCTTCGTTTTTTTTTATTTAAAATTTGAGATTTTGAGGTAAAAGATCGAAAAGATATTTTTGCAGGAGTAAGCTTTGCCTATTTCTATTTATCATATTTAAATTCTCATTTTGAATACCATAATTTAAAATTTACTACAGTTAATATCAGAAATAAATGTTGGAATGTTCACGGGATATTTCGAAAATGTGTAAATGAAACCATTTTTATTTTATTAAATGAGATTTATTAAATTTTAACTTTCTGTTTAATTTATTTTCCTTCTATATTATCGGAATTGGAATGGAATATTCTTTGGCAGGATTATCTATCTTCATTTGATTCATTATTTTCGTTATTTTCATTGAGTTGATAAAAGTTTATAGGTGATTTTATGGTGAAATTTAAGGGAATTTGGTTTATTTTATAATAGAACACTTGGCGAGTGTTTGCTTGCATGGATTCTGAAAAAACGAATTTAGATGTAAACATAGATGAGGAACCATTAACGAGAAGGTGGTTTGTTTGGTTCTTCGATTCAATTTATGATCTTATTTTTTTTTAATTTTTCCTCGTTTCGGTTGTTTTTTATTTTTTTCGTTATTTTTAAAGATTATTTGCGGACTTGTCACAGAGAAACTATTTTTGGTAGAATTATTTAATGAAAGGCATTTTTTTTGAAGATGTAAATATGCATGGGTTCACTTCCTACAAAATTAAGATCTATATTTTTGAAAAAAAACACCCATGTGGGTCGTGATTTTTTTTTAAGGGTCCTCACCATTACTGGTTTAACTCATCCCACTGACTTGTCATATTGAGCAATATACCATGGAATCTCTTGGCCATAGAAATACAGGTGAATCGCCAGCATCACCCGGATTTTTGTATATTCAAGTTTATTCCTTCAGGGAATCGAACCTCAGCATGATTATGATAAATATGATATTACAGAGAAATTAGCCAGCTGATAGAAATATAGAAATGTGTGAAGAATTAAAATATTGAAAATACAAAGCCTTCAATACCAAAATTCCTCTAGATTGTGAGACAAAGACTACAGCATTGGCCACTAAGGAGGTACACTGGAGCAGAGGCTAAAAAGATAAATGCTGTCTTCTTCAAAGAACGTTCAAGATGTACTTTCAACTTCCCTATACTGGAAGAATTTAGGGGAGAAAAAAAGGATTCATAACACTAATGCAAAGTGGTTGCAAAATCTGGGAATAAATCATAGCAATCTTCCAAAGTAAAGATCAGCTACCATCGCAGTTGCTGGCTCAATCAGATCTAACAGCCACTCAAAAATATGAAAAGTAGGGCATAATTCACACCTACTGATTGAAGAAGGTAACAGTGAGTTTAATGCTTGTGGTAGGCTCTCAACCATGACTGGTTAAAACATGGAAGATTCTCATAAGAGAACGACATCACCAACTATCAACCAATAACCTGACTACGTATAATGCGGAAAATTCTGTCAGGCGTCATAGTAATCATAACAATATAAGCTATGAATGCAATTCAGAAAGGCACTAGGAACAACACCGAAGGCCTCAAACATAAATTGTTCATAAGACAGTCGCTCTAGAATCCCTCAAAATCCCTACAGACTAGTCCGTGTACTTGGACTGGCTTATCACCCGATTTCCCATACTCTTTATGGATCTTATGTTTTTATGGACTTATGAATATCTGGTTCTATACAAAGTCAACAGAAAGACGTTCATTGTGAGCTCGGCGGGATTGTGGGAAACATCTGAAATCATCCGAAATCGACTCGAAGTAGCTTGCACTATTACCTATCAAATGTACAAGATGTACAAGATGCATTGCATTCCCAATCAAAACCTCCACAGTGAAGGAATTACCAGAAGAGGAAATTCGAGAACGAGACTATGATCGGCCATCTTTTCTAAATGGATGAAGTTAATATGCAAAAAAGTCAACAGACATGGATTCGTTCATCCATCTAACTCGAATCTAAAGTGAGGACATTGGGATATCATTCGGATTAGAAAATTGCGGGCGAATGGTAGTAAGAAAGGAAAATTATTAATGACTAATGGAGTGGAGCTGGCATATACTGAACATGTAAGCTAGCTATAAATGCATTGGTATTCCACAGTCACACGGTAACCGCGATGAAGAGGTAGTAAAGAATGCAGCATCTAAATATCACCAAAAGATAAATCTTGAATAACCAGCTCAGTGGGAAAATCGATGCCATAAATATGTCCTGCCAGCCATCAGATACACAACTGGCATCGAAAAATGGACAAAGGAAGACATGGAAGTTGCTCATATAATGACTTTTTTTTGATCTTACAAATGCACGGAAATTTCCACCTCAAGATCAACACCCAAAGATTGTGCACCAGCATGAAAAAAGAGGCTTGGCGAGTGTGAAGGCCACTATCCTGAACGAAACTCGAAACATTCACATAATATCTGAAAGATGATACCAAAGGATAAGCTGCTAAAAGAATGATACATATATTTTGGTGTTCCTGATTGTTTTCCAATGATATATGTTCACATTGGAAAACAATCAGGAATACTAAAATACCAAGGTAAAACAAGGTTCTCCATGGATTGCACCACCGACAGATAGCTAAGATAACCGGCATTATGAAAACCTACTATTTGGTTGGAGAAAGTTGGTCTGTAAAGGCAGCATTGAAGCATTGATTGTAGTAGCATAAGAATTAAGCACCAGATACATCGAAACAAGGATTTGCCGCACTAGACAGAACTCTAGATACAAAAACGCCCCAAGAAACAGTTCAGCATTAGTGGCAGGATGTAAAATGCAAGCAGGCACTTCCACTGAAGGGCACAACTGCATAGCTGGCATCATCTTGCAGAAACATCTGTTCGGTATATGGCCCTCCCAAGACCAAATGGGAAAGAGATTTCGTCAGAAAATCATAGCGATACCAATCGATAGAAACGTCAGAAAGAACGAATAGAGAAGAAGATAGGGAAATATTAAGGGCTGTAAGAGGAATTAGATAGGAAGAAGATGTGGAAAGTAAAAATCAAAGTAATTCCATTAATAACTGGAGCACTTGGAACTGTGACTTCTAAACTGGCTTTAGTTCTAGGAATAACATCAGAGATCTCTATCCAGAGGCATTTTTAGGAATATCTAAGGTCTTGCGCAGAACCTTCAGGGGGCCCGAAGTTGAGTATGATCATGACCACACACTAGTGGATGAGAAAAATGTTTTTTGATTAAACGATGTCTGTAGCTGTATTGCTTTTATTTAATTAATACACTAATACTAATCTAAGTTTTAAAATAATTTTTTTGAACCACTCATATGTGTTAAATTCAGTGAAAGGAGATTGGAAACGATTAGCGATGAAAAATTTGAAATAATCAAAGGTGTTTTAAATCTCTCAGGCAAGAATTTGAATAAACTTGTATTAGACTCCAAGGATCTGCTCGATGTGAAATTGCTTGATGTCTCCCATAATCAACTGAAATTTATTCATGGTCTTTCGAAGATTTCCAGTTGTAAAGAAGTATTTTTCAAACATCTATTATTTTCGTTTTTGAGAGAAAAGGGGGATGATGAGATAAGAAATATAGCTGAATGGGGGAATAAAAACAAAAGAAAGGAGCAGCAGAAACGTTTTGCCAAGACTATCTTGTTTGTTAAATGGAAGTGCGGAGGAGAACCTCAGTCGCAATGTTGTCTAATTACAGCTGAGGAAAATTGAGGATGTGATATTCATCATTAGTAGGATTAAGCGAATTCTTTTAAATTTTTTTGAAGACTTTTTAAGCAGTGGCAATAGAAAAGTGTCCAATAAGGTCAACAGTTCGTTTTGGGTAAAAAATTATCTAGCGTCCTACAAACTTTGTTCAAACTTTGGTGTTCAACTACATTTGCTCATCATGACTATCTAGCAGTTCAACAAGTTAAGGAATTTGCGAATATTTTTTCTAAGCTTCCTCGATCAATTATTAATGAAGTAAGAAGGAACCTTGTTTCACTGACTTCAGAATATTTGATTAATGTGCTTTAGAAGGAATAAAATAAATAATAATAAAATAATTAGCGTTCACCATTTCTCGTTAAGCTCTTAAGCTCCCGTCACTGATTTGTACTGATCACGCTGCTAATAATCAGTTTAATTAGTCGAGTTTGACGAATATGGAAAGCAGCACAGAGGATTTCGTAGGCTTCTGTCAAAAGAAAGAAATTCAATCATATCGCCTGATTTTTATCAAATTAGCATGTCATTTTACACTCATAAAATAATCCAGTAATGGATTAATGACATTTTGGTCTAGAATGGATTTGTTTCTGTGGATGAACTAAAGGATTGGATGATCGCTTTTCTGCAGCCTTGATAAGAGTTGAATAATACGAATGTATCGTACGATTAGCGCTATAATACAGTTCAATTCCAAATTTTATAACTACATTTTTTTATTTTCAAAAATATAAGTGTATTAACCAATTATTATTGATAGCAGAAAAGATGATTTTAAAATAGATTTTGCAAAAAAATTTATTTCATTTGGTTACATAGGAGCTTATTAGAGAGCTTATTAGCAAGTGAAATAATGGTCGATGTGTTAGAAATATTTCTTTTGAAATACTTATTGATTAAACTAATTCATATTTACTATAATTTAGCATTTAATATTATTTGCTTTATTTTATATTATTTATATTATTTTATATTATTTTTATGTTATAATTTTAATAGTAATAATTTTTGGTGCTTGCAAAAAACAATAAATTGGAACGTTTCGCAAGTTTTTTGCCGTTGAGCAACGTCCTGCGAAGATTGGACATTTCTGATAATAATATTTGGAATTGCGATCATCTCGCGACGCTTATTGCTCTTCAGTGGCTTGATGCTTCTAACAATAATATTGAAGTAAAGATATGTGAAAAAGTTCTTTATAATATTTCGATATATTTTTAAAATAAACTCTAATATTCAAGTTCATATTTTTAAAAAAACCTTCGAATAATTTGTATCGAAGGGGAAATTTTGAAAAATTAATTTAGCTTATCCGTAAAATTCAAAAAATGCTTAGCATTATATTTCCTAGCTGATATCTAGAAAATTTTAGAAAATTCCTTCCTTGGAGCGAATTATCAATCTTGTTTATCTTGATCTTTCGAACAACCAATTCTGTGCTATACCAAACTTACAGAGATTAACGAATTTACAAGAAATAAAGCTAAATGGCAATAAAATATGCTCATTAAAGGAAATTTCAAGACTTTTACCGTCGACTCTCACTGCTTTCGATATTGGATCCAATGTAATTTGTGATCTTAATGAGGTTTTTTGCACTTTTATTTGCGTTCTCTCTTTCAGAAAATTTAAAAATTTTTTAAAAATAGCATCAGAGGAAATACTTACGAGTATAAAATTTAATTCGTTTTATTGAATTGATATGAAAATTTCGATTGTCTTTTGAGAATATTTGTTAAAACTATGGTAGAAAAGAAAATGTGGTGTGTTGTTATAATTGAATTTTTAAATGTAGTTGTGAAGTATTTTACATTTCGCTTTCAGAAAAAATCTCTGCCAATGTCTGAATGCCTTTTGAATGTTTCAGTTGTACCATTAATTTGATTTTTTCATCCACATATTATCTTAGGCTCTGTATCTTGCTCATTTTTCATCATTGAATGCTCTTATTTGGGCTGGAAATCCATGTGTTGCTGCTGAGGGTCGAACTTTTACATATCGCCCCTATTTGTACTCTTGCTGTCTGGAAGGTCTTAAAGTGTTAGATGGATCAGAATTGTCTGATATTGAAATCATAGCAGGTTCTTTTGGGTTATATTAGATTTTTTTGAAATTATTTGTCTGCTTTAAAATCTTTTTATGTCGTGATTTGTCGTTTAAAATTTTTTGTGACACTTCTAATGCTATTTATTTATCATAATTTATTTATCGCTTAGATAATAAATTTCTTATAGGAGAACAATTGCATACTGAAGGAAAGGCTCGGCTTATGAAAACACATGCGCAACTGTGCTATTATCTTGAGAAAAAGTGCCCTTCTGATATTGGCATAAATGACGATTCACTGAATAATGATCGTATTTCGAAGGTGACGAATCTTTTTTAAAATTTTTCTTTATATTGAATTTAAATTGGTATCGACTTTTTTGACCAATTCAGTCCAAAAAAGCTAAAAAAAACTTATATTGGTATAGCTGAAAAGTTCTTAGTGAAAATTTTCTCTTTCCATATATGTTTATTTTCAGGGCCATTCTTATTGTTTAATTGATCAGTTAGTGTAGCTATTGTCTCGTTCTTGTCATTTTAAGATTCTAGTTGATTCTACAGGTCTTAAAAAAACGTCGAGAATACCTTTCCAAATCGATTAATGATTCAGTTAGCGAATCTTCAGCACCATCACCTTTCAAACAATGGTTATCTAAGACAAATATTGCTATACCTGACGATACTGAAACGGAGTCATTGGAACATAAAGAAAATCTTGCTCCAGAAGTTGATCTGGACAATTTATCAACTAATACTAAAAGGTTATAAAGTTTCTCATTAGGAAATCTCTTTACATTGTCATTTTAAAAATCAAATGTGATGCCTTCATTTATTTCGTAAATTACAACTATTTATTTGATGATTAAATAATTATTTGGTGAGATTTTGAGTTTTGAATTACTTATTAGATCTTCTTCAGCAATTTCTAATACTTTTATTTTACTTGTATGTGGTTATAAAATTGAAAATTCATTCTTACCCATGATAGTCTATTCTTTACGATTTGATTTTCCTTAATTTCTTTTTTTTCTATAATGAATGCCTTTAATGAATTGTAACGAAAATTGTATTTTAGTAAAGACAGCACACTAGATTCTGCCAGATCTGATATTTCCAGTACAACAATAACATTGTCTCGTTCAGAATCAAGCATCTGGAAGAAAATGCCGATTAGGTATGCGCTTTTTCTTATATTCTTGATTCTTTATTATACTGGTTTTATTCTTTGAAGCTTTTTATTTAGTGATAAGAAAACAACAGAAAGTTTTCAAAGTATAGATGATGTGTCGCAAATAAATTATAATATTTCGAAATTACAAATTGAATTGAAGGATTCTGCTCGTTCTTCAAAACTGCGTAATTTAACTCCGTTTGGAAAGTGAGTTTGTATGTTTTTTAACTCATTTAGGACTTCGCGATCATTCAAAAATTTGAACGATTAAACACTGTGGACGATTTTTTTTTGTAGTTTCTAATTTTTTTAAATATAAGATAGTTAAGGTAAGGTTATTTAGGTTTCAAATATTTAGTTTCGGTCATTAAATCAAAAATATTAATTTTATGATTCATGTATGAAATCAGAATTGATGGATATTTTTGCTTTTAAATTTTTTGATGATTGTTTCATCAGTTGTCCATGCAAAATTTCTGTACTTTTTCGCTTTAGAAATGCAAAACGAAGATCAAAAGTAAATCAAATAAGCGCTTCGAAAAATCCGAAGGTATAGAGTTTATGATTTTTCAAAGGCGATATGATTTTTCTTTAAATTTAATCCATATTCTGGATTGCATTTCGTTTCCTTTTCTTTTTCGTTGATTTAACCGAATTTATGAAGTTTTTAATGCCAATTCTTGCCAACTATCATTCCATTAAGCATTTTATTTTGCTTTATTTTTATTATCTTTATTAATGAATGTATGGTCTTTTCTTCTTTAATTGATTTTAAGTTTTGTATCTGTTCATTATGATTTTTTCAGGACCTTATTTTGCAGCAAGAAAAGAAATCGAGAAAGTCGTCCTTTCAGAATGCTTTGCGTTCCAATATTGGTTCGGAGCGATTGTCCGTGGTCAATGCAAAAAAAAAGAAGGTATATACCGACCAAGAGCGCAAAGCTGCCATTGCAATTCAGGTAAATATTAGTTCAATTTCAACAAATTCAATTTTACAATTTTACAACTGAAATTTGAATTTTTCTTAGGAATTACTTATTTTATCCTTCTTTTAAAATTGTTTATTTAACTCATACTTGGAAAAAACTCGTACTTTTATAATATTTTTTGAGTATCGCATTTTTTCCATCAGTTTTTATTTATAGTCGTGGTGGAGAGGAAATCGAATAAGGCGAGCCTTATGTTTTCGATTGCTACAACATCGTATACAGTTGTGCGAGACTACCATACGAGAAAAAACCATTACAATAGATTTATTGACCAAACATTGCGAACAGCTTACGAAGATTAATGAAGAACAAGCGAGATGGATTGGCGACATCAATTCGTTTGTTCTGGTAAATATTTGTTGATTAATTAATTTTTGTAGATTTTACATTGTTATTTTGATTCAGACAATATATGATGAGCTAAAAATGTGCATTATAATACAATGATAATGAAAAAAAAAATGAAAAAAGGAGAGCCAGTGAAAAGAGATTAAAAGACCACTGCTAAGGAAAATATCACTTTTTTTTCGATTTAACCTTTTGAAAAAAAATTTTTATATAATGCGATCTTTAAAGCAAATGGCTGAAAAATTCGAGTCCAACTATGCATTACTTTTAAAAAATATCCTTCCCGTTCCTGTAGAGTTGGAATATATACGTCAATCACCAACAGAAGTTATTGTTCAATGGAAAAATGCAGTGCCTTGTGAACAGGCGAAAGGTCGGTGGACTTTGTCTACAAGCAATTACGATTATTTTAATTAAAATTGTTATGATTTCTTGGCTTAGAACTGAAAGATTTTTGGTGATAGAATATTCATCTAATCGTTTTCAACGTGATAGTGGTACAAAGTGGTTTTTATAAATTATTTCATTTAGCGTGCTTGATATCAAGTGGTCTGTGAATTAATTCATATTCTCCATCTAGAACTGGATTATATCACTTCACCGAAAATTTCACTTTAATGGCTAGGATTCGAGCCAAATGATTTATGGTCATATTTGATAAGTTTAGGTGGGAAAAGTTCCGTAAAGGAAAATATCACCCTTTAGAAAAACTCTCATCAATACTTCTCTGGAACTTTAATAATATTATTACTTTATTTATTTGAAGCATATATCTTGGCTGTGGATGGTATTGATTGTGGTACTGTTACGGCTAAACAAAAGAAAGCCATCGTTACCGAGTTAGATCCTTCTAAGGAATCAAGGTATTTTTCAAGATGTGAAATAAGTATTTTAATTTTTGTTTTGCTTTTTTTAAACTCAGTTTTGCTGATTTCTATTTTTCTAGGGTTACAGTTCAATGTTTAACTGATGATTTAACAGGTGTGAGGTCAAAACCTCTCTTCATTCCACCGTACCAGTTCAACGAGGTTTCCCATTTATTTCTTTATGAAATGTATTTAATTGAAGATTCATGGACATTACAATTCGCTATGGAAATCATTAGCACTAAATTAGTAACATAAATAAAAAATTCAGCTTATCTTAATATTCAAAACCTCAGGGACAATGCCAAGAAGTTGCTTGGGAAAATATATGAATAATGATCTCAAGATTTTGCATTCTGCTGATACTATATTCTGATTCTTAGTTATTACCATTGTTTATTTTTTTCTCTGGAAAACGGTTACTTTATTTTCCATTTTTGTAAATGGAATTATAATAATGAAATTAAGCAAAAAGTTAAGCGAAAAATTCCTATAGTCAGAAACAATACGTATATATGTTAACAAGTAACATTTAAATGAAAAATGTAAAAAATAAAAGTTTGGTTCTTTGGCGCAATCATACTACTTTTTGGAAAGAAAACGTATTCGTTACATTCGTTATATTCGTTACCCTTTGGCATTGAAGATAACCTTTTCTTTTCCAATATTTTTCCCTCAAGTAGCACGAATAAATGAAGGCCGAATTATGCTAACGAATATATAACCATGCAGATAGATAGATGGACAAGAAAGTGAAATTTTAATAAGATATGAAAATTAACGTGAATTACGATTCAAATGATTCTTTAAACCTAAAAACTATAAAAGAGTTAAAAAACCATAAAAGAGTTATTGCAGCCGAAATTGTCAATAAAATTTAACTGAAACGAAGTTTATTGCAATCTGATATAAAGGTGATAATATTAGATAAAATTAAGTAATTATGTTTAATTACAAAGAATCAACCTATGTGAACAATCATAATAAATAATTCCAATCCAAAAAAAAACAGGATAAGGAAGGAAACAGGAATACTTTATATTATGTCAAATTCCAGTGAATTTTTTTGAAATTACCCATTTAATTGGTGCAGTGGTGTTTATCTCGAGCAAGGATTTGCCAGGATTCCAATTCCGCCAAAATATTAAACAAAGATTTCCCGACTGTGCATTATTAACTCATCCAGTCTCGCATATTCCAAATTGTTAATTAAAATGATCCATAAAAAAATCAGGAAGAAATGTGAATTTCTCTTCAGTTGATAGTAACTTCCGAATGGTTGGCGAAGTTCCTTTATATTCAACCATAAAGTAAGTTAATTCTGGCACGCTATATAAACTTCCCTTAATCCATAAAAGCAACTGCTGGAGGTAACATATAACCTCACTTACTTTCCACGATCTATTACACGGTAAAGATCCAACAGATATTCGCTTGGTATTAATAACTATTCCTAAAATTGAGAAATGCGAATCAAGAACTTTGATAAATTTGAAAGAAATGGAATTTGGAACTAATATATTATTACAAAATATAAAAATGTTAATATAAAAATGTCAAACAGAATGTTAATTTACATACTGCTGATGTCATTGTCCTCCATGTTTTAGCTACTTTTGGACAAATGATATCTCGAAGTCTAAAAATTAAGATATGTAATTAGCAAACAAATAACCACTGTCATCACGAAGGCCAACGACAATTTCTTTTGTAGCTGTAAGATATGACTGCAAAAACCATTTTAAAGCCTTTCGGTCCCAAGAATGCTTCTTTTGTCCATCAAATCGCATAGTTTTTAATTCCACATAAGCACCACTTGCTGTATAAGGATCTAGAAAAATAGAATTAAGGCAATGACAAATATTTTCTGTCGGATAAGTAGATACCATATTATAAATTCGTTGATTAGGTTGAAGTGGTATGCGATGAAAGATGATGTGAACAAAAGGGTGAAAGGAAAGAGAAAAGAAAAGGTGCAGAAACTATGTTGGTGTCCTTTTTTTACAGATCAAATAAATGAAAATGCCCTTCCGACATTTTATGAATATAACTACTAAAAAACTAAAAATTTGATTTGATTTTGATGGTTATTTTTTCATAATTCTTTTGTACAACAAATTCAATTAAATTCTGTCGCGTGTTTTCTTTTCTCCCGATAGAAATAAACCTATCACTGAAAATAAACCCCAGTAATTCATGGAGGCCTATTAGTGATTTTTTCCCAAATGGGTACATTGGTGAAGGAATCATCTGAAAGCTTAACAGAAATTGTATGTTTAAAGGTGCCAATGGAAAATTAATATATTTGAAAATTGTTCCAACAGTAAAGTCAAATTTAATAAATTTAATAAAATTAAAAAATTAGACTAAAAACTAAAAATTAAATTCACATCAAACTTAATAGAAATTAAAAATTAGATACAAAGCCATAATATAGATGGATGTTGCTTCGAATAAGATCAAGCACCATGGATTCGATTCTCGTCCCTTGACGGGAGTCAGAACTGGAATTCAAGTAGACTCGCGCAACTGTGAACCGTTTGTACTTCTTAGGTAATAGAGAAAAGACCTCATTCTAGAAATAAGTGCAGCCAGTAAATCGGAGAAAAGAGAAAAAACAAGAAATACCATAATAAAGACCATCAGTTTCAGCTGAATATAAAATTTTTAAATGAGATTCATTGAACTTGGATTTAACCATTATATGAAACTCCTCTTTATTGGTGACTGGCTTTTTCGTATCAGGCACGCTCTTAAAATAATAATAAAATGGATACAATTTTCATCCATCATTCCATACAAATTTCGACAAAACGAAAACTATAAACCTCTGGATGACTGCTTGTCATAAACTGTTCAAATTTGAAACCCCAATAAGCCATTATTTTATCGCGATTGGACATGTTTGCTAACATTGTTAGCTTCTGTTCAGTTGGATATTCGCACAAAAATATCACCGATTTATAGCATACAACAGCAAACATCCAATGTTCATCTTTATTTGAAGGTGTTGCAGCAATACGAGCAAATATACCACGCCATGAAACAAAATCTGCGTCGTGACATACCTCAATAAAAGAATAATTAAAATAAATTACAAATAAAACCACAAATATTTCATTATTCCTTTTTACTTGTTGTATTGATAAACGATTGAAAGAAAATTTCATTTCATTTCTGCACAATGATATGTGATAAAAGCAGCTCAGTTAAGCATTAAATAATAATATAATAAATTTTCAGTCAAACCTAAAACCTAATCCAGTGCTTTTTTTGAATAGAATGAATTAGGTTCTTATCGCTTATCATTTATCTGAATGATCGAGATTTCATCATTCATTTCATCGTTTTTCATTAATTCATCATTTCATCATATTATTATATCACATTTTCACGCTGATCATATAAGATGAGTGGGAAAATGAGTGGGAAAACCAATCAAATTGGAAATAGTTCATATTTAAAGAAAAAATATAAACACCAAAAATTTCTACTGGCCACAATTTCTCCAGTTTTCTGCTGGAACTTTCTTCGTCTTCACGAGGTATGACTCTAATACAATGCAGCCATTTTATAAAACTCTTCATCTATATAATAATTAGCAAAAGCAATTTTTTTTCTAAATGTAACACTTGCGGTTTGGCAATTCCACTAAAAAACCAGAATTAAAGTCACCTCCCACCAAACAACCACTTAGAACCGTAAGTTCTCCACCCTCAGTCCTACCGAATTATAAGATTATAAATAGATACGGTTGAAATCCAAGCTAATCAAAGGTCAAGTGGATCAATATGTGCAAATTTTGATCCTTTTATCTTCTATGAGAAATGAGTGGGGCATTACCACAGTAATTGTGCAGCAATAATTCGATATCCGATATTAGACATTTATCAATTCGCTTGTCTCCTTTTTCACCCACTCTAAGTGATAATGTCAAGTATTACATCTCGGCCATTATCGCAATCTCTATTTCCCTCTTTCATATCTCTCTGTAAGCGATAACGTCTTGTGATATTGGATAACAGTAATATTTGACTGCTTGTTGTCGTGAATAGAATAGATATAACTATTGAATAGAATAAGTAAAGGAACGAGCAGGTAAAAGCACCTTTTTGAGAGAATCTCCCGGAAGACTATGAAGCATTAACCATTTCAATAAAATATCAATTTTCTCATTAGATGGTTCAATTTTAGCATCGAAAATTTCGTATCCTTCATTTAAATCCATATGACACTCACGATTGATGCGAAAATTGCATAAATATCTGGCCTGACTTCGACCCAAAATAATTCCTCGTTGTGCATTAACGCAGTATTCACCAATATATTGCGGCTGATCCAGAACACATCCCCTCGAGTTTTGTTGGCGAAATTTGAAACTATCCATTGTCCATCAAAATCAAATGTTTTCGGTTACGCGGACAACATCGACTGAAAGTAAAGTATTAAAATACTCTCCATATTCTCTTCTTCGCCTCCCTTTCCTCTTATTTTTCATCGGCGGCATTCCTCCATATCATGAACACCTCTTTCCCAATGCCATTATAACTCCTTCAGTCACCCCGTTCCTTAGCCTTTTTCCTACCGTTCTAATTAATTTCCCATAATTCCAGTTCTGCGACTATAATCTGAATCTGTTCGTTGTCATTTTTAATTTTCAAAACGTGAAAACCACACTGAATACACTGGTCGAAAATAAAATTAACCAATTAGACCATAAAAAAGTAACGAAAAGCAAGTGGGAAGGACCCGGATCAATCTGTTCCATCCCCTCCCCCCTCCCCCCCCCCCCCCCCCCCCCCCCCCCCCCTATCCCTCCCTCTACCCCTATATTTAATCGACAGAAAAAATCAAGTGTCAAACGCAAGAATTACACATTACAAAATACAATTCATTTTTGTAGCTAATTTGGATT